AAAATATCTTTTTCATTTGCGTATTTTACATTACCCCAATTTGTTTGTGGTGGTCCATAACCGCCAAAAGGTTGGAAACCAGGCGGTGGCATCCCGAAGGGCGTCGCTCCGAATTGCGTTGCAATCGGATTACCAAACTGATTTGGCATTCTATGCTGCATAGGGATCATATTTGGTGGCGGTTGCATTATGTTCGTATTTACCGCTGGTGTATTTATTGGTGGTGTATTGGTAACTGTTGTGGATGCTGTGCCTAACATTTTTCAAAATTTCATCTCTTAATAACAATATTTTAACATAAACTTAAAAAACTCGAGTGTTAAAATAAATACATAACGCTCAAAAATGTTTTCAAAATATATCAAATTACCATTTGATTGATTTGTTTCAGATGTTTGATTACTGACATCTGGTGCATCATTTAATGTAGGTGGTGGTCCGGTGCCAGGAGGTGCCGTACTTAATTGATTAATAGCATCTGTATTATTAGAAGACGATTGTTCACCGCCTTGAGAGATTCTGTTTTCACTAATCTTGGTCGGTGTACTACTTGACGGAGTAGGTGTGGTAGAACGTGTTGCCGCTTGTTTTGATGCACCATGTACTAACTGTTCCAACTGCAAAATCATGAGACACTCTGTTAAAAATTGTTCTGAATAAATCATTTCAAATTTTATTTAAACGAACAAAATAAACTTTTAATTTATATGACAAATAAGTAAACTTACCTTTGTTATAACATTGCTAATTGTCAATTTTTTGAAATATGGTTCTTTTATTTATACTTCGTTCCCTTGCCTGTATTTTACCCGCGTAAAAATATACATCAATAAATAAAAAATATTAATAAAACTAATAGCAAAAAAATACAAAAAATAATAAATATAATTTTATTGATATTGAAAAAACGACTCAGATATATAATCACGATCAAAGGTAAATAAAAAAAATAAGATTGTTTTGCAAATAACAAAAATAGCATTAATTAAAAATATAAATCAAAACTCGCATTTATTTACCTGATCTTGTACCATGACCTTTACATTTGGTCCCTCTGGCTTAGTCCATGTGGTATCTCTTGTACGAATATTATAATAATACGACTTGCCATCAGCCGCTTTCGTCTCTACCCACACTTCTCCATTGAGATCTAGACCTGGAATGTTTGCTTGCTGTTGTGCTTGTTGAGGTGGCTGCTGTTGTCCTGGAATCTATGGTATACATTTCATTATTTCAGGAAAATATTCTTAAATGCTTTTTATCATTCGTTTCTTCAAAAACAACAAACATATAAATGAAAGTATACTATCTACAAGTTACATTATTAAAATGTACAAATTACATTATGAAAAACAGATGAAGAATAATATTGGCAGTATTAGAGTAATTAAAGAATAAATTTTTCATTACACATAACTTACGCTGTTCATGTTAGGTGGCCCCATTCCAGGAGGTGGTCCATATGGACCTGGTCCTGCACCCATGGGGCCGTTCATCATATGTGGTGGTGGCTAAAGCAATAATAAGATTTTAGAATTAGAAATCGATATATATATATATATTAGGTGTTGGAATTAATTCGTAGCGTTTTACAAGTGATGGGAAGTACTTTCATTAATGTATTTTTTAATGCTCATGTGAAATAAATAACATTCTTTCATTAAAAACGCTACGAATTAATTCCAACACCTAATAAAATTCATAATTATTAAGAGATTCAATAACATACCATTCCTGGAGGTCCCATCAAATTTGGAGGTCCCATGAAATTAGGAGGTCCCATTGGTCCCCAGCTGGGATCAAATGGTGGTGGTCCACGAAATCTTGGTCCTGCTGGACCAGGCGGACAATTTGGCCTTGGTGGAGCTTCGAAAGGAAAGCCATTGTTTGCTCCACGGAACATTGGCCCACGTGGTCCAAATCCTCTTCCTCTAAACCTTGGGGACCCACCTCTCATAGGGAAATCAAACCCACCTCTGCCACGACCCCTTAAATTATTTTTATATGTTGTGACTAGATATCTTAGCGTTCTACCATGCCACTTAGAGGAAGGAAGATCAGAAGTAGCTTTCCGAATCTTACTTGACTCTTAAGAAAAACAAAAAGAAATGCTCCGCTCCACACGCTGCGGATCTGATCTGCTCGTGTCAGGCACCACGCATATTCGCGCAGTAACGCTTCTATAAAGAAGTACTACAAAGTTGCTTGTAAAAAGATCATAGCATTAATTAATTAAATCCCGCGCGAAGACGCGAGGGGCCTTCGCGCGAGCCGGTGTCGGTCCAAAAATATAAAAAAAAAACCCGACATTTCTTGTACATCAGCTGTAAGGATTAGAGCACGAAAACACACGATGGAATCGGGATGTTGTCAACTCTTGAATCAGACAGGATAGATTAGATGAAAACAAAACGGGAAGAGAAAAGCATGCAAGGCTGAGGGAAAGTATAAAAGAAAAGACGCGGACAACACCGTGAAAAGATCGCCGCTCGCGGAGCCGGAATACGCGACGCGTCGCGATACGCACCGAAAGCCGCCTCGGCCGCGCGGCATGAAGTGCCTGTAATCATCGCCCTCATAGCTGTACTCCTCTGTCTCCTCCATTGCCTCGTCATTATGCTCCTGCTCGTTGGCGGAGGTAGACTCGGTGGCCGCGATCGCGGCCGGCTGCTCGTTGTTCGCGTCCATCTCTCGACAGAACGATCTCGACAAAAGTGGAAAACAACGGAGAGATCAACAAACACGTTGGGCACGTCACGACGGAGAAAACCTGTTTCACACGCCCATTCGCTATCGCTTCACTCGTTATCAATCCCTCTGGCTGATCTGGCGTAGGAAAAAAAACGCCGCGGACAAATTATTACTATTCTACGCGGATACGGGCCGTAAACACGTCGTTGCAAACTACTGCAAACACACGCGAATTCCCCTAAACGCGCCGGCGTGGCAAGCATCTACGGGGGTTCCTAAAGCCCGTATCATCGACTTTATCTATTGAGAACCTCACTCATTGGCCATTCGAATTTGTCCCGTTGATCCCGTGGTGCAGGAACAGGAGTGGAGGAAATGAGATGGCAGATTGGATTTTTCAAATTCGGTCTAGTGCTTTTCGCTTCTTGAGAAATCAAGCCATGTTTGAGAGCGCAATTTGTATTTTATAAACCACTATAAAGAGAACAAGAGAGAACATAATAAAGTCAATTTGATGTCATATTGATGATCGATTATTGATCGAATTTATATCAGTTTTTGTAAAGGTCAGTATAACATTATTTTGATTTTCCAATTGTTCTCCTTGAACACGAGCGTTTACGCCATTCATGACAATGATTAATTGCCGATAGAGTTCTGAGTGTTAATATCTAGATATCTAGATGTTATTAATCACGTTACACAAGTGATTACAACATTAATTATTTGTTACTAAAGGCTTTGGCATTTAGGAAAAAATATGAGAAAAAAAAAGGAAAAGCGGAATAAATTTCCACGAGTAAAATATATTAGTGAGAAAAAAGTAAATGTAAAATATATTGTATGAAATATTAATCGTATTATAAAAAGTGTCATGCTATTTATTTGTATGATTTAAAAAATAACAATATTTTTTCTTTAGGTATGAAATATATAATGTGTATTTGTCATCATTTCAATTATAATGAACAGTACTCTTAATTAATATTGACAAGTTTTGTGATTGCATTTATATAAAGTTATATGTAATCTAATATGAACACAATTAATCGCTCACATTATGTGCAGACTCCTACTCTAAGTCTTAACAACAGTGTCGATGTCGTTATATTGAATCTGTTTATGTTGTTTGAAATCTCCAAAAATTTTTGCATGTAAAATTAGATATATAAGTATTAAAGAAAAAAAAGATTTTGAATGCAAAAAATCCAAGCAATGCAAACAAACTATTATATACACAATATTATCGTTGCATAAATTTTTGTATAGGTCCATTTTTGTTAGTGTTAAACTCTCTGTCTCCAAAAATATCAAACATATATCTATTTCACTTTAAATTTCAAAAATAAATCATTCAGCTACAAAAAAAAAACAAAGACATCAATCCAACATCTGATTATTGATTGTTCACTAAATAATTGCGTCGTTTATTGTTATTGACTCTCATTAGCCTATTATATTTATCTTTTTGTATTGTTTAAAAAAAAAACAAGGCTTATATATCCCAATATCCGAAAAATTAGAATTCGGCAATGACCACACAAATTCATTTTCATCTATTTCAATTCCTAAGAGATTGAAATAAATAGAAATGAATTCAAGTGTTCATTTCAGAATCCAAAATTCTGACTTTTCGGATCCTGGGATATATAAGCTCTGTTTTTTTTTGTAGCTGAACGGTTTATTTTTGAAACTTAAAGTGAAATAGATATATGTTTGATATTTTTGCAGACTGAGTTTTACTCTATTATATTTAAAAAAAACTGCTCAATGACAATATAAAAGCGCTTGTGTACACATTTTTTAACATATAATAAATATACAATTAAAATATTGTGTATATTTATTAATAATTTATTAATAAATATGCAATTAAAAATATTGTTGTATACTTATTGTAAAACAAGCGTTTTTTTAAGTGTTGCTGTGCTATTTGAGTTGTTATATTGTCATTGAGCAGTTTTTTTTTTTAATATAATAGAGTGTAAAATTCTTTTTGTCTCCAAAAATATTAAATATATCTATTTCACTTTAAGTTCCAAAAGTAAACCATTCAGCTACAAAAAAAAATAGAGCTTATATATCCCAGTATCCGAAAAGTCAGAATTTTGGATTCCAAAATGCACACATGAATTCATTCAGTGAATTGAAAGAATCTTAATTTTTATATACTTTTCTTAATGCTTTCTTTCTTTTTTTAGTGCTTTATAGGCAATGTAAGCTACTTGGCAATATCGATACTATCATTAAAAATTACAAAATAGGAGCTTGTAGTTGTGTGTGCGTGCGTGCGTGCGTGTGTGTATATGTGTGTTTTATAGTACATTTATTATACTACAGTATAGTACACTATGGTCATTATAATACACTTTTCTCATTTTGCATTATGTGGAATTTCAACTGAACATAAAACATAATTCATTGTCGATTAGTACAATGTCATATCATTTCGTTTTCAATGTTCTTTTACTTGGACCTTTTTCCAGAAATTCTTCCAGCATTTTCGCATACTTTTCATTATAGGCAATACATTTTTCCAAATCATCATCATTTGGAGGCATTGGCCACTCCGTGTTAGAGTATGGTGTTACTTCGAGACTTTCAAACGAACCATCTTCTTGTCGTACAGCTAATCCAATTATTGCAGGATTCGTTACCATTGCCGCTGATGAAGTCAATCCATATTGAAACAACTGTGCAGTAGAATCGGATAATTCCTTATATTCATCAAGATGACCATTATTTAGAAACATGATTAATAGCCGTTGATCCTGTGGCTGTACTTTAAATATAGCTGTAAAATGTATATATTCATCTCAATATTAATGTGTTTATTGAAGTAAAAATCGTGTAATTCATCGCACTAATATATCGAGAAAATATTTCTGCCATTACATCTCTGCCTATTAATTTTTGAGAATTTTTAAGACACACGTCTTACCTTCAATCATTTTCTTGAGCTTAATAACTTGAGTATTTTCCGGCACATCGAGATATAAAGTCATCTTTTTTCGTCTAATTAGCAAATATACATTTACATTTACATTTTTACTAAGGATATCACATATTTCTTGCTGTGTATTATCGCTTAAACCCTCCTATAAAAATATTCTCAGAGATTAATTAATTTGGAAATAAAATGTATTTGTTAATCAAAAAGTAAAATAGATTAGAAACTTACCATTGAATCTAATTTTATATGCTTAATAAAGCTGAGATCAATCAATATATTCTTCCTAGGACAATAATAGAGATCTATATAGAGAACTGTGTGTTTATCAACAGGTTAACAAATTCAGTCATTATCATTTGCGTACTTTTGAGATAAACATCGTAATATTCCTTTATATATATATATGTAGTTAAATTTTTATATATTCAGCTATGAATACATAAAAGTGAATTTAATATAAATATGAAATGAATCGTTACTTATTTTAATAAAACATCATCCTTTCTTTATTCCTTTTCTTACTCTTCCGTTATATCTTGTGAATGTTTTCGCTTTTGAAATCGAACATTCACGTTTCGATTAAAAAAAAGCCTAAACACACCATTCGAAAATCTCTCGTTCCAATCATGGAATATGTACGATGTTTTTAAGATATCAATGTGACTAAGAAATCTTTCGAGATGATGATTACATAATTTTGATTTATATAAAAGAAACAAATTTACATTCACATAAACATTAACTTGAAAACGGTAATATAATTATATATGAGTGTTTCTCTGCTGTCGCATCGAAAAAACTTGAACGATTCGAATTACCTTTTCTTGAATTTATTCAACGTCGTGTAATATTTTCAAGTATCATTATAATTACCTTCACAATACTTTATAATCCTCCAGAACACAGCTACGAGAAAAGGAATCTCGCGAAAATATATGTTAGAAGAAATATGCAAACTTGTGGAAAAAAAATATTGAAAACTGAAATTATTGGAGCTGCCAATAACGCTTCAAGAGCAACACGACTACCAATTGAAAAATAATCCTACATGAGAAAAGATAGCCAAGTCTGAAGTAAATCAAGATTCATTGGCTATCGCGCGTCCATCGATTTCACGTGCGCAATTTACAGAGAATAAACCATGGTGGAACAAACTTTAGAATGGTAGTAAAAAATTCAATCTTGAATTTAAAATCGTCAAAAAATCGTACAATCCATTAAAATATAATCTATTATTTACAATCTATTAAAATCATACAGTCCAGAAATGTACAGACATTTATACAGACATTTCATTGGTTGGACAAAATCTTAAGGCCAGACTTGTATTTAAAATCGAATTGTGAAATATCGCCCTTATGTTTATGTAGCCTCTTCAATAACACGTATATTTTACAAAGCAAAAAAGGCGGGAAAGACGCCTCACATGGCGTGTAATATCATTTATATTTAAATAAATATCGCATGTATTTCTAAGTGCTATCAAACAATACTAATCAATATTGAAAATATCAAGAAACATAAGCCTTTAACATCTACAAAAAATAACGAAAACAGTGAAAAAGAGATACGGATAGAAAGGTTAGAATTAAATGTAAGATATGTAGACGAAATGTGGAGTAATCGTAAGAAATAATTTATAATAGCTCAGTTCCGCTTACATATTTTATATTATATAAATGATATTGATACAAACGATCTTTGTATAAATTTTTATTTCATCGGATGTCAATGTCGCAAATACATTCTTAAAAGAAAACAATAGAACACAGCTTTTTGAGGGGTATCTCTTTTGGGGATGTTCTGTGTTGTATAGGAATTGTTGAAGAGTAATTAAATGCAATTAGAAGATCAAATATATCTTTTAGCACTTATTGAATTTGTTTACAATTTTAATATATCACACAAATGCACAATAATGTAAATATATAGATTGGAGCACATTATTGTGTTGAATCAAAGTGATCTACGATGTAAGATTCAAGATAATTAAATGTTCTTTTTATTGTATATAGAATATATTTATTAATAATGGTGCACACAACTGATGAATCCATTAAAAATCTGCGTTCAAGATTGGGAAATGAAAATTCACAAGAATTTAAAAGACAAGATGTACAATATGAAGACTTGTCTAGTGATTTTGATAATAAATCGATTGATTTCTCCAGGCAATTCTGTAGCATATATGCAGTGAGATTGGCAGAGTTGAGAGAGACATTGATACCACGAGTTGTTGCAAAATGGGGTGAGCTTTATACTGCTGATTTTAATGAAATTCTACTTGATTAAATTAAGATTTTTATACACAAATATTTTATGTGATTTTCAATATAAAATCAAGTAAATAAAAATTTTATCGTCTACATTTTTTTCAGGAGATGTTCAAATAGTAAAGTTAGCAGAATTGGAAGATTTTGAAAGACAAAAATGCGTGATAATTGGTACACTCTATAAACATCAAAAGTGTAAGCCATCGATATTACATGAATTAAGCGAAGATCATCAACTCACATTGTCTGAACCAAAATCGAACTATTGCTCAGAAAAGGATCAACTTTTCTTGGAAGATGAGATGCTTCGCATCAAATTAGTAATCGAAGATGCAGATTTAAAGAATTATGTCACAGGTGTTGTATGTGCCATTTTAGGCTACAAAGACAAAAACGGCAGCTTTGAGGTATGTAAGTAGATTTAAATTAAAACACATATATACATATACATATATGATATTTTATTTAGATCAAGGAATGGTGTTTTCCTGGTTGCGTACCTAGAAGTTTACCTGCACAGCCAAAATCCAAAGGAAAGCTGGTATTCTTATCTGGACTTGACTTGGCAAATACTTCAACGAACTTATCGTTAAATCTTTTAACCGAATGGATATGTGGAATGGCAGGAGAAACAGCGGCGCAAGAAGATGCCACTGACATTGTTCGAGTTATTATTGCTGGTACATCGGATCTTTAATGTCTTTAATAATCGTATTCATTTTCACGCTTTAGTATTACTGAATTCTACATAGGTAATTCGGTCAAAACTGTAACTAAGACAAATACTTTAATGGGACACGCCGAAGGAAAGGCACAAGACGCCGCTATAACGAAGGAAGTTGCTAGAGCAACAACACTTGCAGATTCATTTCTCTACGAAATAGCAAAATGTTGTTGCATTATTGTAATGCCAGGTCAACACGATCCCACCAACGCAATGTTGCCACAGAGACCACTTCATCCATGCATACTACCATTAACGTCTAGGTATTATACAAATATATATATCTGTAATATAATATATTACAGTCTAGATATATATTCCAACTTCTCAATGAAGATAAGATTATAATTCTTTAAAGTTACTTGAAAATTTTTGTCTATTTTTTTATAGTAAAGAAATATATGATTTTAGTTGCTTTTGCAATTTATTTATAAAAAGACTTTGGCAGCATTACAATAATTCGAAGTCAATATATAATTAATTTTTTTAGAAATTTTTACGAATTTATAAGACTTTCTTAAATCCAAGTACGTCCTAAATACAAATATAGTTCTGATAGAAATAATACGGTATTTTTCAGATTTCAAAGCTTTAAAAGTGCGACTAATCCGTGGATCGGTAAAATCGCTGAACGTATAATAATGGGCAGCAGTGGACAGCCTATTGAAGATATTATAAAAGCAACCGGTGAGACAGATATTTCTCCTTTAGATTGGTTAGAAAAAACGCTGCTTTGGAAGCACATGTGCCCGACTGCACCAGACACGTTACCAGTATATCCTTACTCTGTAAAAGATCCATTTATCATAAATTATTGTCCGGATATATACTTTGTGGGTAACACAGATAAATTTGAAACGAAACTGTGGAAAGGTAATTTAATATTATAAAAGAGATAAATATTATTTACATTAAAAAATTAATATTTCCTCATATTTACAATACTAATTAAAATGCATTTAACACTTGTAGGTGAAGAAAATCAGATGGTTAGGCTAATTTGTATTCCAAAATTTTCCTCTACACACATTGCAGTTATGATAGATATAGAAACTTTAGATACTGAATTTATTTGTTTTGGAACTGAATGAATGCATACATTTGAATAAATTCACGATTTATACAAGATACAATTAGATACAAAAATAGATAATCTAATTATACATGACATTTTTTTCACTGATAAATTATATCACTGCTGTTAATCTATATTTTTGTATATTTATTATATTACATTTTGAAATTTATTATAAAAAAATTTGGAAATAAAAACAATTTTATATTTTGATAATTCTACATTTAATAAATATTCTTCGGTTGCGTCTTATGCGTATACAATTGTGTCAAAACGTGTATCTTCTCTATAATTATTTATCGGTTAAGCTAATGCAAGTCAACAAAGCGAAGTGAAACTTAAAAAGATACAGAATTGGATTAAACTATCAAAATTTGCTTTGTGATGTTAATCATTGTTACAATCGAGAAATGCTGAAGATAGATAAGTAATAATCACGAAATGTTTGCATGAGAATTTGCATGTTGTAAAAGAAAGAACAATTTCTGTTGTCACCTATTTTTATTTGCATCTCATAAAAGTGATATACAAAATTGAAACGCATGCGACTTTTAAGAATTCGTAGACATTTTGCCTGGTTATAAAACTTTTAATACGAAAGAAAATACATGTAGTATCACAGACTATAGAAAATTGCGAAATCACAGTGACACAAGACTTTATTTATATGAACGCTTAAATTAACAAGTGAATATATACTTCACAAATTATACCAATGATAACATAACAGTCAAAATACAGAGCATCAGAATTTAACTAATAACACATTTTTAATATTAGTAGTTTCTACATCAAATTTCTTCACACGCTATGTCAAGAATATCTTTTATGATACATAAATTTACAATTTCTCTGTTATAATTTTATTTTTTATAACGTTATCCTTACCTGTGTGTATAATGTAATAGTAATATCTTAAGACACGACTCGGTCATATACGAAAATTAAAACAGGATTATCTTAATTCTAAAAAAAAATCTATGCTTAAAGAAACTGATTTTGACTGTTACATAAATTATGTTTGCGAAATTAGGTGCAAAAGTTACGTTACGGACAATGTACAGGGATTTAAATACAAGTTTTGATATAATAAGTAAAACTGTAACGTACATTATTTGTAATATTAACATTTCTCGTAGAGTATGTCACGCAGACTGCGATAATTCTTTTTCACAAAATAGAAAAAGCATGTATATATTGGAAGGTACACAGTGCTACAGAACAATTCGATTGGCACTTTTATTTAAAGTGAAGAGCTTTGATCGCAAACATAAATATAGTTTTGTACAAAACCGCTCAATTTGTCATGAGATTCCACTTCTTTCAGAGAAATTAATACTATCTATTATTTGTGTAACAGAGCAAAAAATCAATAATGCATATCCTAAATGTAATATGACGTTAAAGTTCTAATGCTTTGGCCAAAATAGCAATACTTAAAAAAAATAATAATTAATTAAGGTTTTTTCATTAATTTAAGCAGAGAGAATGAAGTTATAAAATTTATATTTATAATACACTTTACAGGTTCATAATTAACTTAAGGTGCAATGTTACATGACCGATAGGTATATATAACAATTGACAGGTAGCTTCTGCATATATATATGATGTGTGTATGTATATACATACATATATATATATATATATATATATAGTAACGACGTAGACATACTGTACTTATTAAGAGTTTTATATCCTATCTTTTAGCCGTCGGACGTATTCTCTCCTTTTCAGTGTCTCTATCGTCAGCTACTGTCCACTCGGGATCATTGGGATCCTCACCGTCTATATCGCAACAAGCCGATTCGGTCGAATCCGATTCGGGAGAATCCATTTCAGCTTCCTAGAAACGTAGAAATACAAATAGTTAAACACGACTGTCATCGTCGGCAATCACCTATTGGCCCAATTGGTCGCTTTGCGAAAAAATTCTATTTAAGATTGCAAGCTCTCATACGGCAGCTGCATGAACCAAGGAGCAAACTAGAGTTGTGTAAAAGATTCTATAACATATAGAAAGTAACGGTCGCGTTAATTTAACGCGATATTTTTTCATCATTAAATATTTGCTAATTGCGTGTGTCTATGTGTATGTGAGATGAAAAATAAAATGAATTACGTTACAGAAGTATGAAGCGTCAAGTGGTACTGCTTACCGGAAATAGCCTCGAGAGGAGCCATGAAAGTTGGCTCAAAGTGTATATTAATAGTCAGTACTAGCACCCACATACATTTTATATAATTAAATTTTCTCACTTAGATACTCGATGCAAGAGATATTAGTACAAGTACAACGTACGTACATCATCGCCTTTATCTTCTTCGCGGGAGCATAAAGACGTCGATGAAGCTTGCCAATGTCCATCCGGCATCACTTCCAACATCTTGTCGTAAGCTTCTTCAGATAATGGGAATACTCTTGGCTCATACGGCAATATCTGTATGAAAAAATTTCAGGAATATTACAATATCACGTGATATTTATTTAAACGATACGAGATATCATTACTGCGTGTACTTACCTCGTTATCATCTTCGGTAAATGCGACTGTGGTATCGTCTTTCCCAAGTCTCATAGAGGGCATAGTGCGACGTCGCAAAGAATTTTGTAAAGCAGACGATCGGTGCGAATCTAAACCCGATGACTCTGTGTCCTGCACCTGAGACGGAGTGGCAGGTGGAGACGTGATTGGAGATATCACGTTTCCACCAAAGTCACTGCTCGCGTGCGGCGACATAGGATCTAAAAGAGAATTTTTTTTCTCTTATAAAGATATAATTTCATTGATTTTTTTATTAAATAGTTTTATTAAATAGCACCGAAGACAACTAATTAAAAAAATATCTTGAAGAAAAAGGATAATATTAGGTGTTGGAATTAATTCGTAGCGTTTTTAATGAAAGAATGTTATTTATTTCACATGAGCATTAAAAAATACATTAATGAAAGTACTTCCCATCACTTTAAAAACGCTACGAATTAATTCCAACACCTAATATAATTGAAATAATGAACAGCTCATAATAACGGCATGATAAAAATTCATGATAAATGCGGGGCAACATACCTGGCGTGTTCGCACCGCTGTCTGCTCTGCTATCGATACGACGATTATGACGAATACGTGTTTGGTTTGGCGTATATGTCCTACGTTTGTATTCTTCGCGTTCGCTACGTTCGTGCCTCAGAGCGATCGTTTCATCCGACAAATCTTCAAACTGTCAGTCATATGATCATTGAGTTACAAAAGAAGAAATAATAAGTTGCTTCATTTTTTTATCGCGTTGCTTTTTATCGCATATAAGCGATTATCTCATTATCTACTTACGTCACTGTCCTCATCAGGCCTGTGCATCACACCATTCTTTACATCCATTTTCGCGGGTTCCTCACACAATCTCCATCTTTAATGATAAAAAAAATAGAGAAATGCTTTAATGAAACAATAATGACGTCAAATTAAATTAAATTTATTTAGAAATTGAAATAACTGTGGATTATATAAATATATATCTTACTTTGGTGTTAGTATCTCCTTATATTGTAACTTTTCAGGTCTAGTTGAAGCAGCGACACTATAAGGAATGACTATATTGTCGATGTCGTACGAGTTTTGTCGCAAACGCCTTAAAAAAAAAATATATATATATATATATATATTACAAATGAGTCATGGACAGTTCGATATTTTAGTATTTTGTTTTGAATTCATAAGAACGATAGCGACTGGTGATTTCATGAATATGAAACGTAAGTATCCTCCATTTTATATTCTCAAATAGGTATTCGCATTCCACATTATGGAAAATTTCGCGTGCGGGATCGATATAGTGATCTCGTTAATGGAAGAGTAATCGATGCATAAACGATGCATCAAACAGCGCTTACCCATGTGAATTGGAACTTTTCTCTTTAACAACGTTTTTCTCCGTCGAGGCAGTAACATGTTGCAATGGAGAAGGCACTGGAGATGAGTGTTTGCTGGAACTTGAAAGTGCGCTAACGTCGTCGTCATCCTCAGTCGGCAACTTTGATACTTTTTTCTTATTCAATCCAGGCACGCTTCTCTCGTGACTGAGTCTATTTCTCTTTTCATTTTTCAACATTTTTCTCTTAATCCCTGTTAAAAAAGGTATACGTTATTTCACACCAGAGAAACAAACAACGAGAGTGACTCACTCTTTTAATAAGAACATAGATTGTGCAAAATGAACATCTTTGTAATACGTACGTGCTGTAAGAATAGTAGAAGATGATTTCTTTAATCGCGCGGTATACTTCGTTCTATTAGGAAGTTTTTTATTTCTTCGTTCGTTGCTATCTTTATCTTTCACTCGGGTAACTCGCAAATTGCCTCTCAACATTTTCTGCTGCCACTCCACTGATTTCATAATAGCTTCTAAATGTGTTCCATGTACAATTTCTACAATAAACAAAGGATAGTCAGAGAAATTTTCGTTATTGTTCAACAATTTTGCACTTTTATTAAAATTTATTTAAAAATTCAAAACTACAGAAAAGACTAAGGGTGTAGATACAATAGAAGAAATAAGAAATAATAGATTTTAATCTATATCAAAAATCAGATACACTAGAATATTTCTGAATATTATTATAAGAGCCTTTTTCATCAATCTCTTAAGCCAATTGACAGTTAATTCGAAGTGTCAACGGGCAGTTAATGCATCACATTTTCTTCTTTCTTCTCCTCTTCAGACAACTGTTAGCACTACTGCGAGTTAACCGTTAATTAGCTTAACCGAAAATTGGTGAAAAAGACTCTAATAAACTGCAAATATGTACAACGCATGAACTTTCCTAAGGGCTTTCCTAAGGCTTGTTTTTTTTCCATACTCCAGAACTGAACTTCTTTGTATGATTTATCTTTTATCTTTTTCTCTCCAATGTAAAAAGAAAAAAGCTGAACTGTGGAGGAAGTTCAATTTTAAGATAAAGGACAAAACAAGCCTCTAAATCAGACTTATTCAATTTTAGTTCCGGAGTTCAAAACGCAAGATTTCGGGAACTATAAAGTGTTGATAAAGCGTTGATGGCTTTGCGTTTTGGCTCCGAAGCTAAAATTGAACAGACCTACTCTAAATTGTATACATATTACGTCCTTATCAACATATAGATATTTTGTATTGAATGAAGCAAGAATTTAAACAATGGAATTTGTATTACATTTACAAATAAACATACCATCAGAGAATGACAACACCGGATGAAAACTGGAATCAACAAGTGCTACACGTTCCTGTACAGAAAGCTGTTCAATTGGTTCTTGTGGCTGCATTGGATCTAGCCTTCCTGTACATAAAGCACATGCAGGCAATACATGATCACAATTGCATCTCACTGTTGACGCTTTAGCTGCACGCTTTGAAACTTCGTGTAGCCTGTCGACTTGCAAAAGCTTTCGCTTTCTATAAAAATTCCATACAAATGGACGCGTCCTACTAGCTGGTAATTCGCCCTCGGACGAATTGCATCGTCCAGTGGAACCTGGTAGAGCGCCACTGTATCCATTAACGGTTTCTGCATTTTCAAGAACGACCAGGCCTTTCGCGGCCCTAACCTGCCGTTGCAGATCGTTATGCTGTCTAATTTTGTATTCTAAATCTGATATCTGTGCCTGTAGCCAGATCCACCGTGATGCTACACCTGCACGATCCTGTGCATATCTCCATGCTGCTCTTTTCGATCTGTGCAAATAATGTAACAATACGATTGGCCTACTGATTTGCAAAATTAAAGATCATACGTTGTGTAACAAATCAGTGTAGCCTATTATCGTAAAAACTAGATAGAATGTCGCGACATTAGAGAAGCGTTATGAGAATTCGACAAATTTTATAATAAATTATTATTTTCAATCTTTCCACTTTGTTTTACAGAATTACTTTACTCAAACATAATATGCACAATATTATTGCAATTACAGACGAAACATGCATTAAATCTGCATGCCAAACATTAAAATATTATGAACGCGTTTTCGAAACAGAATATTTCATAAATAAACAAATAATAAAGAATCCAGAACCGAGCCAAAAAACATATTTCGGTCCATTTTCTTCAACTGCAATGATTAACTCATTACTTATTATATATATATAAAATTTTGAAATTTTTTAGAAACTAAGGAAATTACCGCTTATTTTGATATCATAACTCTTGAGTCATGAACAATTAGAAAATAAAAAGCTTTAGAAAGCCTATCTAAAAATCATCTAAGCATTTAAAACAATAAATATTTTTACTACGATTTAATGATAAAAATTGAATAATAAAATTGAATAATAAAGATTAAATAGTTGAAATAGTAATATTAAATTAAATAATATTAAATAATATAAAATCAATAATACTAAATTAAATATTGTGGATGAAGTTACTTGTAACAAAAACTAAATTACTCTGACAATCATATAGAATTAAGTTATTTATAATGACTTGTTATAATTGTTCATTACATAATATACAGAAAAAGTGCAATTGTTCAAAGTAATAATTCAGAAATATATCTGGAGTACTTTTAACCTATTCAAATTAAATAAACAAGCCATTTTTTATATATTCTTTCTCCTCATAAAGCGCCATAATTTTATAATATATTTCTTAAATAAGTACAAAAGAAATTAATAAATTGCACAAAATTGATAAAAGCAGAATGTGTAAATGCATTTGTACTTAATGTAAAATTAATATTAATATTAAATTTTTGGTTAAGCGTAACTTACATGGACAGACGTTGTTGTTGTGAATTGTTAAATGTCTGCATTTCATCGCAACTTTCTCCACCACTGCTGGATGCTGTACAGTCCGAATCCAAGTTAGATTCCAAAATATGTAATTGCGTGGACAAAGATCCAGCCATATTTTCCACTTCTTCACCATTTAGTTTAACCTGAGGGGTACCAAATACTGGCTGACGATTACCATTATTGCCAGATGTACCACCCACGCTATCACGTGACCCTCCACCAAAGTATCGACACACTCTTTGACGATTCACACTATTACTCTGAGCAACACACATTTTCTCAATTTTCTGCAGGAACGAATGTAAACTACCACCAATCTCGGGAAAGTTTCTTACGTTAGATTTCGAACCAATATTAACCAATTCTTGTAGAAGATATTTTTTTACTCCGTGATGGGCTAATTCGAGAACACCGGTATTCTCTTCCGCCACGTGTCTGCCTATTATTCTCATTTGAAGTTTCCTCAGTCTTCTCATTAAAAACGCGCATCTCCTTTCATTCTCGAATTGTTTCTGTGCCACAATGTCCTGTTGCGATCTCAAACTGTTGGACTTTTGCTGGTCCACCGTGTCCACTGTGATATTCATATTATCGTTGCAAAGACTCATAACGTCCACGTCGTTAAGTAAGTCCCGTTCGAAGGACGCGAATCCTTCCTCGGGCATAGCAAACATTTCCACGCTGTCGACAGCGCCTTGCACTGGCTCACCAACGTCCGTAGAAATGTTCTCGGTACTCCCCGCGCCCTCTATCGAATTAATGACCTGTAAAATCTCCTCCACGTTGTGCCCGATATCAGCGACATTCGCCATGTTGCACTGCTCAGCCGTGATATCGGTACCGAAGGCCATGATCTGATCGACATCCAGATTCTTATTGTCTTCCGTTTCGGTCTCATTAGCCACCAGGGGCAAGTCCACGCTCGATTTCAAGAAACCCATGTTGTTCGTTTGATCACCCATAGATGGGTCGTTCATTATAATGTCGATCTCCTTCCCCTCGGCGTGACCGGCGTCCGGCAGCGTGACCGGCCGCTCAAAGTCCTCCTCCTCTTCTTCCTCCTCCTCCGCCGCCTCCGCCGCCGCCGGCGCCGCCGCCTGCTGTTGCAAACACGCCGCACCGTTCCTTGATCCGATCAAGTCGGACGCATTCGTAAACGCGGATAGCGAGTCGAGGTTGTTTGCATACTTGGAGTTAATGACATCGCGTATGAGGTCCTTTGAGATACCATGCAAGCACTGCTCGTCGATCTTCGACGGTTGCACGTTCGCCGGCACCACAAACTTGGACAGAATCTCACGGTTTTGGCACACCTGCGTGGCCTGATCGGGGGACAGAAAGCCGCTGGCGGCTGGTAGGGTAGGGAGCAAGTTTTCAGGCTTTTGAGGACCACCTTCCGTCAGAGCAGGGGCCATCACTGCCACTGACGCTGCCAGTGCCGCGGCCTCCACATCCAGAGGCTCCCACGACGTGCCACAAAGTGCGCGTCCGCCGCTCCTGCACTTCCCGTGCGCCGCGCTCACTCCCATTCATCCATTACTACGGCTCTGTGCTGCCTCCCTTACCGTCCGTCGCGTCGCCCTGTTCACACTGTTCCGACTTCGACTCTTTGTCCTAACTGTTTCCTCTTTTATTTTAATAAACAGTTTATCATTGGCCTGCCATCATCCGCGGCCACGTTATTACGTTGTTTCCACTGTATCTCCCATGTTATCGATCACGAATTTCCATGGTTTATCACAAGACGATACCGATTTCCTGCAAAAATTGAAATATTGCATCATATCTCGTCGCGTTTCATTGCACAAACTTTAAAAAGTAAACGACTGAAACAACGAGTTATATAAAATTTTAAAAATAAACAGCTCAGAAATAATTCCAGATAATATTTTATTTTCAACTTTTTGCAAACAAGTTTCATGTATCATTCAATGGAAGAATTCTTAAAAAACTTAATGATGCCAAGCCCTTTAATCGCACGTTCGAACGGGGTTATCTATGCGTTACGCAAAATTACATAACATTTTTTAAGCTACATAGATAACTGCCGTTGGAGCAGTGCCGCGTGACATGTGTATACACTCTCAATAGATTTCGTTTCGAAGAAAGCAGAACGAAATTATGGAGAACACAAAAATACGAATCTAACTCACTTCGTTTCCACGTTTGAGGAAGCGTAGCATGACGTCTTCTTAAGTGACGTATCCCAAAGTGTCCTTTCGCAACATAAACGAAAACGTCTCACCACAATAATAACGATAACGACGATGAGGACAATGATAACAACGATTCTCTTGTAGTCGTTGCAATGATGCTATGCAGTTTCAGGGCGACAACTTCCCAGAGTCGGACTTTGTGCCCGTGCAATAATTCGCAGCAGTCTCTCACCGTTCGCTACAGTTGACAACGTGGCGCTATTAAAACTTCTGCGAATGCATCCTGGAAAAGAGAGAAAAGAAAAGGAGGTAACGTCAGGTCACAGATGCCCTACGCTACGCTCACCAAAGACGCGCGCGCGCTTCTGCAGCGAAAGCTGCAAACCACCATCATTAGCTTAATTCCAGGAAAACATTTTACGGTCGAGTACTCGCGTCCGAGTATCATCGGCGCGTCGATGTACTCACTTCACCGAGATGCGCCTTGGATGCAGGCAAGGGACGCAGACTTTCGTTTACCGCGCAAATCCACCCATTTCTTTTCTTTATAATTTTAACTCTTATGCTTTAACACTTCAACGCCTTTTTTAAGTCTGCTAAGATTTTAGACAGTGCAAATATCGACAGAATCTCTCGAGAGTTGAACGGTACATTAATTGCAATTGGAATAGATTCCCAAGCTATTCAACAGATGAGTCACGCTTAACAACGCGTTTACGACATTTAATTTTCAAATGGTTTTATCTTATCAGATTCTTATAAACTTAAGTGTCGGTGATCAAAAAATTGTACAACTTTTATATTTGTGAGACACTTGATTCTTTTTAACGTCTTTCGCTGCATGTGTGTGTGTGTGTGTGTGTGTGTGTGTGTGTGTGTGTGTGTATGTGTTTGTGTGTGTATTTGAAAATAATAGGCTTGTTTTTTATTGCTAAACTGAACTGCAATAAAGTTGGACTTTTCATTTTCGCTACTACAAAAAAAATTGTTCATTTGATTAAATTAATTGTTCGCTTGACGTTCATTTCTATCAATTAGTTTAATTTTAATCTTGGTTCAACTAACTCATCTCTTTCTAATTCCAAGAATTAAAACAAAGATAAAGAGCAAATTGAAATTAAAATTAACTTATACTTGGTAAAGACGGGCATAAATTAATTTACTTAGCTTTATTTCTTTGGAGAATATATGAATTTAATTCAAATAAAATATGTTTGACTTACACATATTGTTCATTAAAAGAAATAAAGACGAATTAAATTATTTGATCAGACGAATTTTTTTTCTTAGTGATAAATTTCAAACATATATCCGATTCATCTCAAGTACAAACAAAAGTTTACTAGTTCAGTTATAAAAAAAAAAGGATCTCGGAGCAAATCGTGGGACAAAAATAATCGATCGTCGCTAGTAAAACCGCACAGTTCGCCTTCTTCTCTCATTCGACTCCGTCGAAAATAATTTCGATCGTACGCAATAAAATTTGAACTTCCAAAGTGCGTCCGACGATACGACGTTGCTATAGTTACAATGTTTGCGGTATTTCAGCGTGGATAATATTGCGCAATAAACATAGCTGGATCGTGATGGATCTTGCGGGCGCGAACGTGTGGAGCTCAGACGAGTGGTCGAGAAATAAAACGAAATCGACAAATACGGGGAGCGATACGGGGCGTCGAGAACAATTGATAGCAGACGACACGGAGACACCCATCGAGGCGCCCGATACACAAATGACTCACACGATGACCGGCGATAATACAAACAACAAATCTCAAATCGATACATTGAGATAGAGTAAATCCTTCGCGTTTACGAACATATAAGTATTTTTTTTTGTTTTTTTTTTCCTCGTCATTAACGTTCCGAGAAACCCACGCACCGAGTCGGTAGAGCCAGCTGATCCGCGATCGTGTCGCTTATCAATCAAATTTCTCTCTCCTTATTCTCCCCCCTGCCGCT